ACCATTCCACTGCAAAATGCAGCAGCCTCCCAGGAGCCAGAGCCCTCGGCAAAGCAGCGGTAGGCTCCGCAGCCGTGGTAGCCAGACCAGTGTGCGGGGGGCGTGTCTGTGACCTAGAAGAAGTGAGCCTCACACAAGCACAATTACTGTGTCTTCTTAATTTTCCTCCTAAAGTTATTCAAGGGGACTGTGGTTTTGCCTTGAGCAAAACCTCCTTAACAGCCGGGAATCTCAAAGCAAACAACATTATTTTATTAGGTTACGACAGCAGATGAAAGCAGAGTGTTCCATTTGGACTCTTTTTTGAGTCAATTAATGCATTAGCTTAAAACAAACCCTCTGAGAGTTCCTGTTGTTCTCAGCAGCTTCTAAGAGAAAGCTTGGGGAACAGCGAATAAACTATAGTTTTGTCCATCGTCACTAGTAAGGAAAACTATTGTCATGGTACATCTCAATTCCAATGTAGCACTCACCTCAAGGGCTTGAGTTGTTTTTTTTTTTTAAATAAAGCTTTATTTTTCACAATGACCAGGGAATTTAAACTTAGCGTTTATGTGATCAGTTCTGACTAAAAGTAACCAATGAATTAAAACCAGTTTTAAATTGCTACCGTTGCTCTAATAAAATACTTGAGATTTTAAATGCATGTGACAAATACATAAGACTGATTGTTTTGAGTTATGGTTTTACTTCCAATGACAAAGAAAACTTATAAAAGGTACAGTGGAGGCACATTTTTCAAAAATTCATTGATCCATCCATCCTTTGAAATAATAACTAAGCATGTACTAAGAGAATCAAAGACAGCCAGGGATATAGCTCAGCAGCATAGCGCCTGCCTGGCAAGCATGAGATTGTGAGTTTGATTCCCAGTACCAAAAAAAAAAAAAAAAAAAAAAAATCAAAGACAGTCCCTATACTTAGGAAGCTCAATCCGGACTTTCAAATTAAAGACTACCACTGTGTTGAAAAGCAAGGTGACAGTGCTAGGAGATGCCTCAGATACTAAAATAAGCAGTGAATTTCCTAACACCTGTGATCTTCCTAACACCAAACGCAGAATTCTTGGATGAGGACTGTTCTCCAAAGGTAAGACAAAAGGCACTTACCCCTTTGCGGGAAGGACCATTAGGGAAAAGAACATTTCATAGGCCTGACCAGGGAACATGTCTGTTAAAAATCTTTGGAAAAATCCACATCCTGAAAGCATTTGATTACCCTGAATTTAAAATGGGATTTTGCTCAGTGGCAAGGGTACAAATCCATCCCCACAAATATTGCTTCTGTGGTAAAAGGCACATGATGACTTTGAGGGAGGATTTATCTGGAAGGTTGATAAATAGGGCCCTAGGACAGGATTCATCAAATTCTGTCACTGGAGATCTTCCTGCCTTGACCTGAAGAATTCCAATAACACTGGCTTTCTGAATACCGAGTCGGAGGGGGTTACAAACTGTTTCAAGCACAATTTGTTCTCGTTTTTATTCCCTGCTCACTGAGTTATGTGCTGTTAAACATTTCCAGAAGACTGTCAAAATGTAAGCGTCCCGAGGTTTACATAGGCTACACCATTAAATAACATATAAGCACAGAATTTTAAACATTGTTTTCCAGCAATGGTAAATATTTTAGCTAAGTAAAAACTGAAGCTTGAAATGCAATAAGCATTTAAATGAGTCTTTTCTGTGCCAGCATTCGTACTTTCCCCTGTGAGACCCTGGCTGCTGGGATTAAGGCGACCCCAGGGAGCTCGGCAAATGGTTGCGGGTTATGAGGTGCAGCAGGCGCTTGGCGACAGTGTGCCACCCAGCCTCAAGAAACCCAGCCGCGACTGGAGCCCAAGCATCAGTGTGTTCACTTTGTGGTCAGCTTCACATTTTTTCCCTCCTTGCAAAAAAAAAGAACGGCTGCAGAAGTCAGGCCTGTCTCCCACCCCTCAAGCAATCAGGAGGTGGACCCAGAGCAGAGCTGAACGACTCAGGCTGCAGACAGAGGAGGCGGCTGGTGCCTTTGGGTGGCACGAAGCAAGGGGGAGTGGCGTGCCTTCTGCCCCTCCGCCTCAGGGAGGGAAATGAATGACCGAGGCCCCGACAGCAGCCGTACCACTGCTGACATGTGTGCTGTCACTCTGTGAAGAGGGAAACCCAGAACAAATTTCACATGGTTTTCACTACATGGTGATTGCAGGCCTATTCAAGGCCTTTCACAGTCACGCCACCCACTGAGCAGAAATCCACGGAAATTAGAGCGCCTTCAAAGTCTCTTGAGTCACTGCCTCTCCCGCAGCAGAAAAAGCCAAGAAACAGACACTGTGGCCCGATCTCCACCGGCTTCCCAGGGCTTCTAGTTTCTTATTTACTGAAGAGTCTCGCTCCTGGCCCTGGGAGAGTCTACGGGCAGCCAGGGTGCTCCCACTCAAATGCAGCAGCCCGTAAAGCAGCAGGCAGGGCAGGGTACTGTTTATGAGACTGGGCCAGCGTTTCTGCCACGAAAATCTGATCTTCTATAAAATTTCAAGTGAGGAAAGGGAATGCAGACACTTAGGGGCTTTTCTCTATACTCAAAAGACTAAAGCCGAAGTGCTTTGCTATTATAACACCATTTACATTTCTGAGACGTGCTTGGAGTTCTGGGACTGGCCCTGGAGATCAAAATATAAATTTATCACTTACCATCTTGGGGTGAGGAGGGATTGTGTCACACAGAATAGGAAGGAACACGTAGGTATCTGTTCTATTTCTGGTGAAGGCAACAAATCTCTTCACACACACACACACACACACACACACACACACACATATGGATACATATTTTCTCTAGTTTTGAAATCTAAGCGTCAACCTGCAGAAACGGAGAAATGGTTATCTTCTAAGGCAAGAAGGTTTGGAGACAACAGACTGTTCATAAACTGTCAACAGATTATTCAGGAGCTTCTTTGGGAGCCTGGCTGTAGTTGAAAAGACAGACCTGATCAAGATGAACTTATTTTGCCAAAGCGTACAGTATTGGCCAAATATTAGCAGATGTTAGATATGCTGGTACAGATGTTGGTGTCATCCAGAGTTAGACTGAAAATGCAAACGACACTTCTTACCAGTTTTCACGTCCAGCTCCACTGAAACTCTGTGTTACCGTAAATACCGTGCTAAGACCCTGCCAAAAGTGCTAGCAGTGACTAGGCCAGAAGCGTCAGCTTGCTAGCTCTGTACTTTTCTAGGGTCAATGCAGTTTCTTGGACTCACTCTGAGCTATGAAAATGAGGCGCACATTATCTTGAAAGATCATGCCCCTAGGAATACAATCTCTCAAATGCAGCGCAGAGAGGAGACCCCATGAATGACACTTACGGCAGTTATTCCCCATGTAACACATTCAAGAGCAGTGCCATAGCTTTAAAAATAGTTTATTTCCACCTTCACAAACACACAAGCTTCTGGCCATTATGCAAGGCACCACAAATTAAATAAAACTTACATTAGGATATATTTGTCTTACATGATTCGAGATTTTAAAAGCAGGGGGATGCCAGCTATGGGGGAGGGGAGGGGGCCGGGTCGGTGCCAGCGGTCCGCCATGTGCATTTTTCTGCAGTGTTGATTGAGACAGGCAGTAACTGGCACGTGTGCGTCCCAGGAACAATATACAAAATTAGCACATCCAACGGAGGGGCTGTGTCTGAGTTTCTCCGTCTCTATAACAAAATGCCAAAAGCACTTCCTTAAAGCGCTAACACTTTTTCCTTAGTCTCAAGACCAGTAACAGCATATGATTATTAAACATCTCCAATGTGGTTTTCATTATAAAAAAACATGTTTCACATAAAAGCTTCATAATATAATCCAGAGACAAAATTTGCGCATGTTTAGAATTTCAATCCAAGCTGGCCATTTCTGATTTTTTTTCCCCCCCATTTCTTCCAGTGCTTTTTGTTTTTATAAATACACACCCAGTTTCCTAAGCGTTTAGACACACTGGGGACACTCTGCAAACCCTGATTGCTTCTGTGAAGCCGCCTTGAGATCCTCATCCTAACCCAGGAAGGGGAGCCCAAACCTCTCCTCGGACTTGCTCTTGCCCCCAAATCATGTCAGTGCCAACCCAATTCCAGCAAATGTCAGATACAAACACAGGTTGCAGGCAGAGGTCCAAAGAATAATCAGGAATAATTGCACAATGATTTGGATAAGAAAACATACAGATAATGAGTGATTTCACTTAATGAGAAGCCTTGATGTGAATTTAAATGAGATGGATGGGGAAGAAGTGACGCCTTGCTTCCATCCAGAATGGGGCGTTCTTACCGCAGCACGGACCTCTCCCCAGCAGTGAGCTGGGGTCGCCCTCCTTCACTCCCTGCTCACTGCTTTTGAGGTAGATGCAGATGGCTTGAAGAGAGGTAGGTAAAGTCCAAATTTGTTTTCAATCCCTGCGAATGTTGCAACTGCCAGTTTGTAGCCACCAACGTGATCAGGGTTAGGAGCGGGCAGGACGATCCTGGATTTAGGAATTGGCTCAGATCCCACAGGTTTTCTACAAGAAGAATAAACTAGTAAGAGCGCGTTTTTATTTTTTTTAAATGATAAAAAATCACTCAAAAAGTGTAGTATGAGTTGGGTGTGGCGCACACCTGTAATCCCAGTACTCAAGAGGCTGAGGCAGGAGGATCATTGCAAGTTTGAGACCAGCCTGGGCTATAAAGTGAGCTCAAGGCCAGCCTGAACTGCATAGGGAGACCCTGTCTCAAAGGGACAAAAATAAACAGAAAAACTGTTATATGCATCACAAAGGAGTTACTGAACTCAGTCAGCTGCTATGTCTCCTTTGGAATGACTTGTACATTTTTCTAACTCTTTTCCGTTTCACCATTAATGGGAACGGTTGTGCATCTGAGGATGAGAAACTGCTGAAATTCAGCAGCAGAAATTGAGCACGACACTTACACTCCTCCAAAATCAATGTAGAACCATCGCTGGAGCAACTCGTAAGTCAGCAAAGTGACGCCAAACTGGGGTGAGGATCGAAACACGCGAGCTTCAAGTAAGTAGAAATTACAGGTATCGTTACTGTTTTTTGTTTTTTTTTTTCCTCAGAAATTTACCTGATGCCAAAGGGTTAGTTAAGAACCAGTTATTTCCATACCACCAGCTCCTTTCCACAAGGCTTTCGGTCCTTCTTCCCGCAGTATCTTTCTGAAGCAGTCTATCACTCCACTGTAAGTGGTCTGGCCGGCCCGGGCAGCCACCTGTAATCTCGTCTTGATAACATCAGCAGGGGTCACTAAAGACGCCGCGGGCATACCTGTTGAGAGACGTAACACCATCTCAGCCTGCTCACATCCACGCTATATAAAAATAACTGTGCTTTCAACTGCAGGCCCTGGAAAGAAAGTGAAGCAACCAATGCAGTCAAGTGCTTACCGCACTGTCTTCCCGGGGAGGCGCAGACATGCCACTCCGCCACACCTGCTCTCCTCAGTCCCCTCAGCGCCCTACGTTCACATGTTGCTTCTGGTCTTAAATACTTAAGGAATTATTTATCAATAACGCGACTTCAACTGGCTGAGAATAAATGGAGGAAGTGGTTTTTAAAAATATTTCTTTTTTGCTTTCCTGCTGAAATCAGAACCTTGCAAAGTTTATTAGGTCTGATTTTCTAGAGGTGAAACTCGTTCTGTGTTTCCTCTTCATGGCTTTCTGCCTGCTGGCAATCACAGGAGGGGCCCTCCACCACCCTGACCCCCAACCTGACTTTTCCCTTATACAAGAAAGAACTGACTGATAACTAAACCACTGTGTGTGTGTGTGTGTGTGTATGTGTGTGTGTGTGTACAGGGCTCACAGATAACACTGAAGGATTCTTTTATTTCCCCCAAGACTGATATCGCCAGAAAAATATTTGAAAGAAATCTTAAAATTTACATTGGCTGATTATCAATGAAACAGGAACAACAACAAAAATTCCTCCCAAAATTACCAATGGGAAATTTTTCTCCAGTCACTCTATCCAAAATGGGGCAGACCCATGTTTAGATTTTTTAAAAGTGAGACTGTGCTCAGAAGACACTGTCTCTTATGGTTTTATTACTTTTCCACTATGAACCAATTCCAAACCAAACTGGTCAAATGCAGATGCATAAATCTCCTTTGCTTTTTTTAAGGCTTAATAATTCTGTAAGAATTTCTATCCAAACCAACATGGTCTGGCTCATAACGACATCTCATCCTTCTAACAGACAGTTTTAAAGTTACACTGTGAGCGGGGGTGTGTGTGTGTGTGTGTGTGTGTGTGTGTTTGGGTTAATCTACATACTACCTGCTTGCATCTGTATCATTAAGGCAGGCGCTTTTCCTCTCCCAACTTTATTCAGCTCCCCAAACATTAAGCTGAAGTAAGAATTATAAAATCCACCACGACTTTGCATGTGAAAAGCTCCCTTTGTATCTCACGCTTTATTTGGTAAGTCACACTGAGTTTTCTATTGGTTTGCAGGAACTATTTTAACTTCAGGCCAGGAATTTATCCTCCAACATAATGGAAGGAAACACAAAAAATGCTTAGAAACCCACTGTGTTCACACCACTGATTCTGTTTTACTTCCCGGTTTAGAAAGAGTTTAGCAGGCAGTCTGCTCTAGAGACGGGATAGAATCCTTACAGTTATGGGCAGGCAAGTTCAAGTGTGAATGCAAGACCCAAGCACAGGAAAATGGGTAAGAAGTTCCCCTACTGCTGGAGTAGTTTTTGCAAATAGTTCCCTGCCAGGGAAGGAGAGCGAAGTATTGGGAGATTGAGGTGCTGGAATAAAAGTGACCAATAAAAGTGACCAAAGAAATGTGTAAGTGACCTGGTGAGTTGTCTGAAAAGGACTGGTGTTGCCGGGGATGCGGGAAACATGGCAACACGGACACAGCTGCCTCGTTCTCAGCTCTGCAGGGTGGGTGTCTCTGCAGAGAGATTTCTGGTCTGAGGCTTTGTGCATTCCTTAACCTAGAAAATTCCACCAGGCTGTGCCAGAGCGTGGCTGGAAGTAGCAGGAACTAGAAGGAGGTCGGCCCCCTGAGCACCGTTGATATTCAGGGCCAAGAATGGCAACATCTAAGTGCATTTTCCTGGTCTCTCTTGGCTTGCCCAAGGCTAAGACCATGCTGACGACCGGACCTGAGACCTCCCCATACCTGAAGACAGGGAGCAAGGGGAAGCGAGGAGACGGGGAGCAGAGTCTGGGGCCTGCAGCAGGAAGGGCAGCGCACTGATTCTCGAAGAGACACAGCTGCAGCCCTTTGGTTCCCACCACCTCTGCGACAGCGGTGATGAGGACGCTGCCCTGGCAGTCACAAATGACCACAAGGCTGCAAGGCACAGCACAAGATCATTTGTAACAAAAGGAGAACGTGACCGGGCGTGGTGGTGCATGCCTCTAACACTGCACTAAGTGAAATGAGCCATCAAAGGACGAGTTCTAATTGCACAGCTTTGTTAACAGTTCAGAAAACGTCAGGGGTAGTAGTGCGCAACTGTAATTCCAGCGCTCAGGAAGCCGAGGCAGGAGGATCTTTGCAAGTTCAAGGCCAGCCTGGGCTACAAAGTGAGCTCAAGGCCAGCCTGAACAGCACAGAGAGACCTTGTCTCAAAAAGACAAGAAAAGAAAAAAGTGACTGGGGCTTGAGCCATTCTTAATTTTCATATGAATATCTAGTTGTGTTTACAAATAATGTGTTTCTCTGTTTAAAGTTTAAAGGTTAACATACACCTATCTTAGGTCAACACTAAGAGTTTTCCGAATCCTCTTTGTATCCTTGCCTATATATCTACCAGATATGTCCTATTTTATGAGCAGCATGATGAAGCTCCGCATTAGGAATGTGAAAGTATCATGGTCTTCTCAAACTTTCAGCTGAAATCTTTAAGACAGTATTACACTGACAATACATAGAGACTGATGAACTACCTTTGTAGTGGATTTCACTGAGCACAAAACATGCCTGTGTTTCTAAAGGCTATTTTTAACTTCCAAATTTCCTTTAGTCTGAAATTAATATTCCTATGCTTGCTTACTGTTGCTATTTGCCTTGTACACATTTCTTTTTTTTTTTGGTACTGGGAATCGAACTCAGGACGGTGCGCTCTCCAGGCAGGCGCTGTGCCACTGAGCTGTATCTCCATTCCTTGTACATATTTTTCAACCTGTTCTTTTTCAAATTTTCTACGTTGCTGTTTTTAAAAGCTTCAAATGACTAGATTTTGTTTTCTGAAAGTATTTTTACGAGAGGCATTAAATCCACTACCATTTATTGAGGCTATTGGACTTATTTCTGATGTCCTGTATTATGCTATTTTCCTTCCTTCTAGTTACTTCCCTTTTGATCTCTCCCCTTTCCTAAATATTAATTAAATAATGCACAATCACACAGGGATACAGGACCAAGTGTTTAATTCATTGGCATTCGCCTCTTTTCCCAGCAAGGGCAGGAAGCCAGTGTACTTTATCTCCCCAAACCTTTTGGACAATAAGTACACAAACCTAGCCAGCAATTACTTAGGCCTGCTCACAAGTTTTACTTTTATTTGACGTGTTTCACATGTCCCACACTGTCCCTCTTCTTAAATAGTCTTCTGTTTGCTGCTGAGAAGGTCTGTGACTGAACCTTGGGGTCTCGGCATGTGAGAAGCAAGTTCTGCCCACTCCTGCATGCTAATGTGCCCGGGAACAGCCACAGCCCTCCTTGGCAGGTACCCAGGCAGCTCCTACTAGACAGATGTCAGACCTCCCGTATTAACCCTACATCTCTTAAACTCTCTTCCTTCTCTTCTCCATATTTGTTTGTTCCACATTCTAGAATCTTTTCCATGTCCTTATTTTCCAGATGTCTAGCTTGGTCTTTGATCACAAAAACCCTATCATTCAGAACTATCTCCGAATTTTTAATTTTGGCGATCCCTTCATTAATTTTCAAGAAAGCTTCCTTACTGATTATTCCTTTCAAATCTCTCTGAGGACCCTAATTACAGTTCTTAAAAGTTCCCTTCTGGTCTCTGAATTGCCTGTTTGCTCTGTAATTCTCCATTTCACTTGCCTTGTTGCTCCTTCCTGAGCACCTCCAGCTGTCTAGGACACTCAAGTTCAAAGGCGAGGCTGGTCCCGGGCGGCATGTACCACACTCCAGGTCAGCCGCACCCACAAGCCTCTCTCCTGAGTAACAGGCTGGCAGGGCGGAAGCCTTCTGAGCTGCCGAAACGTGGAGGGTTTCGCACTGCAGGTAGAATTTATTATCTACTCCTCTGGGGAAGAACTACCATTAATGTACGCTTCCCTGCATCTGCGGGAAAGGTCTGGAAATTACCTTAAGCCCTGCCCTGCTTTCTTTCAGCTCCCACACCTGCCCTTTAAGACCCATACCACCCCCGCCTTTTTTTAAACAACACTGCATTGAGCTTTTAACCTGCAGGTGCTGCCTGAGGTTCCAGGTGATGAGAAAGAGTCTCAAGGATGGCTCTCCGGTCGCAGGTCACAAATGAGCTAACCCAGGATTCAGCCTAGTACTTCCGCTTCCGCCCCGGAATCCTAGCGTTCTCTCGGGGCTTCCAATCCGCGGGCTCGGGTCTTACAGTAGTAGGTTTCCCTGCCAGTGTTTGGAGCCTTGGCATCATTCGGTTCAGTCTCAGTCAATATGCTGCTGTCTCTGTGTGCTAAGGGCCAAAGCAGAACTACCACGAATGTATTTTTCTGACATTTTTAAGGAACTTCATAGGAGACGGGTGGAACAGTATGCTTAGTTCATTAGCTTGATATAATAGCGCTACTGCTTTTTATTCTTGAGGATCTGAGATTGCGTTGAAATGATCTTAAACTTTGCGGTCACATTATCCACACACACATGCCAGCGGCGCTCCTCTCCTACGGAAGGTTCCCGTTTCCTCCTCACAAAACCGACCATTCTGCTATTGCACAGCGCGAGGTGAGACCGAATGTAACTTGTGGATTCCACTGAGAGCCAATCAGTCTATTTACCATGGTGATGGAGAGTAACATGAATGCCCAAAGATCTGGTCAGTGGCTCACAATTGAGAGGCTGCTCAAAAGGGGAAATCTGTTAGACTAAATTTGCACTTCAGAGGCTCCACGGAGTCCTCTGTAAAGAATGGCAGCATAACCCAGGCTGTAAGCAAACCGACAATCTAACTTAGGACTTTGCCTTTGTAACAAATAGCTGGGTTTCAGCCAATCAAAGCAGGGAAATGACAACCAGCTACCTTCATCCACTTCTGCTTTCTGCACGTCATTTCCCCTTTCTGTCCCAGCCACGCGGCAGCCCGAGTCTGGCTCATTCCGGCTCTGAGGACTGGCCCACTCCACACACTGTCCTTTCCTCAGCTGAACTCTGTAAAATTTTATTTGCCTAAAATTTTTCATTTATCGCCTGTCTAAAATGTTTGTGAAAGCAACACAATCACACACATGTAGCTCTTCCGTATCTATGAATATGCAATGAATAGCTTTTAAAGATAACCCTGAATTAAAATTTGGTTTAAGCTAATTAAATAAAAGGCAAGACCCTTACTACTCACTATAGTTTGACTCGTTCTTTTGTCTTTTTCCCCTGACAAAAAAATTATCTGGTATAACAGATCATGCTATGAGACCTAAAAAGCAGTAGGGATCTTTTACTTGGTATTATCACAAAACATACTGATTTTTTTTGGCTGCTGAGACAAGGTCTCATTATATAGTCCAGGCTGGCCTTGAACTCGAGGGGATCCTCCTGCTTCAGCCTCCCAAGTGCTGAGATTGCAGGCGTATGCCACCATGTCTGGTTTGCAGAAGCCGTATTGAAATACTAAAAAGTGGCATGCTAATGACACAGAATTAGAAGTGGCTTCCTAATTTTAGGCTCCCTGACTCAGCCCTCACCTTCTGAAATACTCTGGGCAATGAACACAAAGTCACACATCACTTAACCTTGCTTAATCTGTGAAATATCAGAGTAGATGTTCCCAGTATTTAAAGACAATGATAGTTTAAAAAATTAAACGAAAATACTAGATACTAAAATCTTACAACAAACAAATTCTTTAGGTAGTGAGTTCAAAAAGCTGGTAGCTTTAAAGATAGCTTTAAAAAGCTGCGTGTTACGAAAGAAATTTATCTCAAGACTAATCAAATTCTCATGGGTGTCGGTACTTACCAGAAGTGAAATGATTATCAAAACACAGCACCATCATATTCATTTAATCATTAGATCTACCTTATGTATAATACGGCTGTTCAACAGTAACAACAAAATATGCACATATTCTGTATAAGGAACTAGTTTGAATACGGTATATCTAAAAACAGTTATGAGACACTTGTGCTTCCTCGTACGTTAGTGATTATCACTAGTCACTGGCATTGCCTGAAGCTCCATTACCTAGGAGGACTTCTGTGTTTTTTTCAGACAGGCTTTCCCCCTTAAAGACAGCAGAGCCCTGGAACGTGCTTCCTCGGGCTCCTGTGATTTGCCACGCCCACTCCCAGGGACCACTCTGTCCTCGCAGGCCGCGGTGCACCACTGTGCTCACTGCACTCCCAGCAGCACGGCCCGGCACGGTGAGGACACAGGTCTCCTCTCCCGCTCGGCTTCCACCGGGCTCCACACTCAGCAGCCGCCCCTTGGGCTTCCTCTGTGGCATCGACTAACTGCTCATCTCCACAGAGAGTTTTAAAAGTTTATCTGAACGAAATGCATTACTAACTTGTAAGAAATGTTAGTCCAAACACATTTTTGGCAGTTTACTTTGGATTTTTGGGTAAACAAACAATCACTGTAAATAACGGCAGCATCAGTGCTACTTTTATATAACATGTCTGCTTATTACTTGTATTTTACCACACGGCCTAGAAATTCCAAAACAAGGCTGAAAAAGGAGGATGAGAGAGAAAGGGGACATCCTGTCTTTCCTTCTTATCCCTGACTTTTAAGGATAACGGTAGTCGTGATATTTGTCATTAGCTTCTGTTATCTGCTGTAAAACACACTATGTCTCATATTTTCCCATGATACAGGGAAGGGGAGACTGGGGCAATGGATAATTACATGAAGAGGAACGCTCAGTACTAACTATGGTCTCTCTCTTCCCCTCCCTCGCTCCTTTGCTCACGCCCACTCCTTCCCGCCTTTCTTTCGCCCTTCCTCTCTCCCTCCCATCCTGCTCCGGGAAGCCTGCAGCCATGATGTGAGGACGTGCAAGCTGCCAATGCTATATGCAGCGTTCTGTTTAGATGCCGGTAGAGCACGAGTATCCCAATTTTCAAACACTTCTGGTTGCATTCTCATTGTTATGCTGTGAAGTGAAATTCTGAAATAAGATGAGACGTGAATTGTGATCCACAGACCACAAAAACGAGCCAATCATCAATGAGGTCTTTTTACGAGTTAAGACATTAAATTTGTCTAACATGGAACGTGCCTGAATAAAGGTGAACGTTGTACCTTTACTTTTCACTAGCTATTCGAAGCAATCTGTAACCAATTCATATTTACCCTGTCAAACACCATCAGCAAAAAATTCCAGTTGGTAGCATGTGGTGGGGCTGGAACCTGGGGACACGGAGGGTGGGGACAGCCGATGGGGAAGTAGCAGAATTCCACGCAGGACACTCACCAGCTATGGCCCCCGCTAGCAGCAGGCTTCCAGGGCTAATCTGCCCATCTTCACTTGCAAAAGAAGCCTTCACATGGGCATAACATGGGAAGTAGATGGCCGAGAAAGGAATGTCTCGCAGAAAGCAGGCTTTGGCACCCTGTGCGTTTGCAAAGGAAGAAAAACCACATGAAACACATATCCCATTGAGAAGATCAAGCCTCTCTGGAACTCACCTCAGAACAAAATATTCCTGGAAAAGATCAAATTTGTACTCACAAATTGAAAGGGGAACAGTAAAAAATGATCCAAATTCTGTAAGTAACATGTCTGAAACTTCTTTTTAAAAATAAAGTTATACACACACACACACACACACACACACACACACACACGACAGCTAAGACAACTGTACTACTAATTTCTGTTAGTTGACTGAAAGGAACAGTTGGTGTATATTGTTTGATCAGTCTTACATGCCTGAGTCTGGTCAGGACAACTAATTACTTTGAAGATAACAATATGCAATATAATAAGCAGTGCTAATTTCCTATCATCTTGTTTTGAAATTCTGTATCATTTTTTATTTTTTTATTATCTTTAAAAGAAAAAAAGTGGAAATGAAGGTAATTTTGCTGTATGGTGTGAGGAAGGGGGAGAAAGGGCTTCTAAAGCTAAGATGTGGATTACACCTTTGCAACTCCGCCTTGAGGCCCTTTGGAGTCCCTGCTGCTGCCTAAGGCACTGGCATTTTCAAGGAAGGTCTGTCTGCCCGCTTCAGCAGATGACAGAAGGCAAAAATCAAGAAGTGTCTTTGTTACACATGAGGCCGTAAACAAATTAGATAGGTAGAGGGGAAAGGGGCCCAATTTTTGTATTATTCGAGAATTTTATGAAAGTGTTGGAATCCTTCCCAGAAAATATCACACATACAAAAACAATTATGTATCTTTTCAGGGAGTTCATGGAATCGCCTCAATTTATTCACATACTTACCCACTGGCCAGCCTGCTCTAAAGCCTTAAGATATTTACAATAATTCTGATGTGTACAGTTAGCTCCTAGAGCAAAGTCTTCATCAAATAATTTCTGGTGTCAAAATAATGCCACATGGAAGCCCTGAGAATTGATGAGTACCCAGAAATACGATATACTGTTATAATGAAAACCACAACACACACGTTGTGTTTTGGGTAGGCTGCGCAGGAAGGAAATCACCACTTGTCAACACTTAATGATTTAATACTATTTCTTTCACAGATTTCTAATACCGAAAATTTCCACCAAATACAGAGAATCCCACAAGAAAATAGAGAATACATACAGATTCTACAGAACTAGCCACGTGGAAGTGGCATTTACTGAGGTCTAGTAAGCTGGGTCTTAGGTATTTCCGCCTGACAATGGCTTCAGCCTGTCAAAGCTGCTTAACCCCATACGTTTGCTATACTGTAGCTTTGGTTTCTTCCGACATTCACATTTCCCTCCTAACTCTATCTGCCATTTCAGGTTAAAACACCCTTCGTCTTTTTCATATAAACAGCTATTAATCCAGGTCTCCTGCAACTTAATTAAATGTCTTACACAATTAACATAAGTAAGACTTTTTATTAAAGTCCAGTAAATTTAATCCTAGTTTGGCTCACCCTTCAAACAGGACAAATGCTTGGAATCTAGAGGCTGTCATGCTGGCCACTCACGCATTCACTCTACATATAGGTATTTAAAAAGGGCTGGTCTACGTTACCTATGGCCTTTAAGCCCTTGCATCTGTATCTGTCCACCCCAAACTCTTAAACGTTTAATTCAAATTAAGAACTGCCCAAGTACTAACCAGACCCAGCCCTGCTTAGAACCACAGCCACCATCACCTCTAAGCTCCTTATTTTATACATGTGCAAACCCACGTCCAGAACAGTTAACAGATCCACTAGATATGAACTGAGGGCCACGCCCATGGCTTATTCAGAGGACCATCAGGATTCGAAAGCATTTTTTCCACCTCTCCCATTTTTTAAAAGGGGAAACAGTACAGCATAACATCAAATCTGTGTGTAGCATCGAATTCTTCTCTTACGATTAGTTTTCTAGGAAGTTGTGATTTGGGCAGTTAGCGTGGGTGGTTAACAACACTGTCCTTTAGTTTTTTATTTTATATTCCTCTTCCCTTTCTGCCTTTGAAGGCTTCCTTAAGTTCTCCTTGCTATTTGTCCATAGACAGACTCTGCCCGGAAGACATTCAACTAGGTATTAAATAACCCAGTGAGAGCGAATCTTTTAGTTGAGGGCCCAAACTGCAGCCCCAAACCCAGTTACTTATCGTAAAGGGCTAACACTGCAATCAAACCTGAAGGCTGGGGTTTTAGTTTAGAAAAATCAACTCATACATCAACATCTTTTGTCTCAAGAGAAAAACAGCACACATGCCATAGGATCGCGACCACTGACAAACTCAAATAAAGATCAGTGAAAGCTTCTTGTCTGGCTCTCTTAATATAGTAGAAAGCATCATGACCATATTTTGAACTTTCTACACAAGCCGTCCACCGTCATTTTTTAGGCTGGTATTATTTGTTGCACAAGTTGTGTGGTTTTTTTTTTAACTCACTGTGTAGCCCTGGCTGGCCCTTCCGCCCAACCCTCCTGAGCACTGGGATTACAGGCTCAGGCCACCACACCCAGCAACTGTGCTTCTTACTATAATCATCAGTTTTCACCTTTAGCTGCATTTCCCAATTTTTGCATTTTACAGCAAGATGTCAATCTCTGCTTGCCTCATTTCGTTGCTTCTGTAAGTTTTATTTTCCTTTTTAAGTTTTTCTCTCACTACAAAATATTTTTATCTGGGCTCACCTTCTTCTTCAGACAAAAAGAACCACTGCAAGTAAACATTCTCAGGCACCCCATCAACAGAAGCATCAGCATCCCAGACTGAGGCCATGCTGGAGAGGCCCTTTTCCTCCTTAGAGTCATAGTCTATGGATTCTGTTCTGTTTTGGCCGGGGTAGATCTAGTATCTGCTTTGCCCTTTAGTCATACCGCTCACATTTCTTTGCTACTTCTTTCAAAAAGTTGCCATCCTGTTTGGTCATGGCGTGCGCTGTGCATCGTGCCCAATATTCTCATCCTTGTCACAGCTTTGTAATGACTTGACTTTCCCAGTGTCTGCTCGCTGGTAAGCCTGACGAGTCTCAAGTAAAGCTATGACTGTCCCACTCATCTGATCGATTAAGGTCCACCTGTCACTCTACATCTTTGATGACTGCTAAGCTGGGAAAACTAACCTCTTAAGTACCACCTCTTCATTCATTTAAACCCCCGGTACTACCATTTCCAATGAGATCTTTTAAGTAAAAGAAAAGAGAAGAGGGGACGCCATGTGGCTCCAAACCGTCTACACTTTTTTGAACTTGGTCTGAGTTTTCTGCATGCCTTTATCTGCCTGTATCAGTCTTATCTGACAGATTATTAGCAACCAGGCATCCTGAACTACCGTCTTATTTAATTTATAAAGCACTGAGCGAAACCTCTGGCTGTCAGCTGGGTCCTAAGACATGTTGCTGATGACCCTGACTTTGCTTTGCCATTTCCCATACAAGACAACTAAAAAGAAGACCCGAGAGGCTTTGGAATAGTACATGCTGTCAATTTCTACAATAACCATCATTTCCTAGAAAAAAAAAATTAGAAAACAGAACAAAGCCTTCAGTTTTCCAAACAAGGATACATTATTTGTTAGGAATACAATAAGCCTGTGAGAAAATACTAGTTTTGCATGGGAATATTAAAGTTTGGGAAAAAAAAGAAAAAAGAAAAGGAGACAGATTGATTCACCTGTCTTATGCTACGTGGCTTCGATATGCTCAGAAGGCCATGCGCAGGGAGAATAGACCTGAAATTAGAAACACCCCTGAGATGCAGGCAGAGTAAGAGCATACATAGTTAGACGTTTCCTAAGAAGGAGCCTTGAGTGTCCCACCGTGAGACCCCTTCCTTCCTGTCCTGAGGTCCTGTCAGTAAGTCATATATCCCAGTGAGGACTGTCTGAAAACAACTCCAGGAGACTGAGAAGAAAGGGCTTGATCAAAAATCAAACACATACACAAGTGAGACTACACAATCCTTGGGAAAAGGTGGAGCTGCACTGTGACCACGACAGGGGAAGAGGAAGGAATGTGTTATATTTTTCCTGTAAGGCATCAGGCAATGTGGTAAAACAGTTTATGCAAATCACAGCAAATGTTAGGATGCGTAAGAGGTCTTAAGTTTCTGATTACCCATGAAAAAGCGAGAAATGGAAAAACCAGGAAGAAAGGGAACTTGCGGACCAGCTGCCCCCCTTGCTCAGCACAGGCGGGACAGCCTCGCCAGGAAGTTAGTAGCTTTAATCACACCAGCGTCCAGCTTCCAACACGGGAGGAGCAGCTGGTAGATATTTCCCTCCCTCGTGGTGTAGCCACGGCATGAGCGGGAGCCCTTCCTTACCCATCAAAATCACCCAAGGCCTTTTTCTTCGGGGAGTGGAGGGACCGGAGCTTCCGGAATAAGTAAGGTAGGCCCTGTGAAGGGTCTGTGGAAAGCACGCACTGCAGTGTGAGGGTAAAGGGCAAGTGAGATGAGGAAGCCTCTCCGGGTACCTCTGCGGTTCCCCAGTCTAGCACCTGCTCAGCTGTCTCGGTAACTCTCCGGCCCAGACTGGAGGCAGCCTCTACTTCTATCCCCGAGGCATCAAAGCTCAATTCCCATGGAAAGCTAACTTTCAGAAGGGCCGGAGAGAAGGCACAGACCTATTAAATTTCCCTGGCTTCTTCTCCCCTCCGCGGACTTCAGGTCTTAAGGACAAAGGCAGGTGCCGATCTGCAAGGCCGCCTTAGGCAATGCCTGACCTGTTGCTCCTACACAATGAAAACGGAAGCAGGATGTCAGAAAGGCTTTTAAAGTTCTGAGAGTGAAAATGTTCCTCTGCCAGAGTCCCGGATAAATCTTTCGCTTTGTGCCTGAACGCCCATTCTCCAGTCCTACATCAAAAACATAAACCTGTCTGACTTGAGTTCTGCTCGCCTGGGTATAACTCTTCCGAAGCGATCAGCCACTCTGAACAAGTAACTTTTGAATGAAGGAAACATTCTGGGCTGTCCTAGTCTGCCTCGGCAACACAGA